GCTTTTGATAAGCCGAAATATATCGATCAAATGGAATCATAAAAAAATTTTTGCTTTTTCATTCGGAACAAGAAGGAGGCAATACAAAAAGTCACACACTTTGTGTGAATCAAATAAATTCACCGTTCCGGCAATACAACATACACAGTCCAATTGGATTGTTTTTTCAACGAATCATAAGTTGTTCTTATATATATATGTTGTTGAAAATGTCACGATTGACAAACAAAGACAGTTTCTCTTACTCACGTGAATGGAAATGTTTGGTTTCCACTTTTACTTTTTGTATATTTTCTCTAAACCCCATCTGAAATGATGACAAAATTGTGTTGACAATTAAATTCAAAACTCGATTATTTGTTGTATTTCTTAATTTAATGTTCAACGTACTCTGTCTGGCAAGGTGTAACGAACATAATACACGAACGAAATTATAATTGTGTATCGGATAAAGTCGTTTTTGAAAGTCACTTCGTCTTCACCTCGTTCAACTAAAGCGAATTAATTGATTTCATTTTTTTTTTTCAAAAAAAGAAAAAAAAAACAAAATGTTGAAAAACCATTGAATATGCTTACCGAGACGAACGATTTTCGATGGAGATTTTCTTGTGATCGTATTCATCGTCTGTGAATTCAAACCAATATGTAATATTTTTGGCACCGAACATAAGGTATATATGGGATTTGGGATCATTCACAATAAACGTTCTTCCGTGGAATGATTTGCCATCATCTAAGCCATATCTGAATATTTAGATTATTTTTTGCTAGTGCTTGTTAGTGTGTTCACTTGGTCATATTCTTTAGTTCCATCTTCGGTTTTATTAAAACGAAATTCTTCAAAACCGTCTGAATGATAGGCGCCAGAAGTCGCGGCGAGTATAGCTGCAAAAACTATGATCGTAAATTTGAACATTATTATTTATCAAGCTAAATAGGAATCTCAAATAGAACTGAATTTCAAAAGAAAAGTTACAATAAATAAGAGCTATACAAGATATAATCAGTCAATATGTCTAGTCTAGGTCAACCTGTTTTCGAAAATATTTTACAATAGTCGCTAGAGCGAGATTCTCCGTCTATAATCTTTACTTTATTATTCATTATAGTGGTATTTACACGTTTAGATACCTATTCACGGTCATTATCACTTTGCGGTTCAACTCGATTGTTCACACGAAATTGACCAAGAGTTGGATCGAACATCTCCAAATTGGTTGAAAATTTGCATAGAGTCTTGTTTTCGGTAGAAAATGAGAAAACCAAAATCTTACGGCTGTAAGTGGCCTACATTTTCGAGTTCACCCAGTGTAAATTTGTCAGAAAATTGAAAAAATCGAAAAAAGTAGTTTGCGCCAACTGAAAACTAACTGAGAAATAGTTGACACATTGCCAAACCACTGGTACTGTTGGAAAGGGAATTGACCGCGAAGTTACCTACTCCCTATGACCCCTCTAAAAATGGGTTCAAAGTATAAAATATGAAATATCCCAAAAGAGTGGGGTTTTTTGGCTCGTTTTTTGCGTCAAAAGATAGCCCATGTAGAGCAGCACAAAACAGACCGTTAAAATCTTCTCTAATACTATCGAACATCTGTTCACCTATAAATTTGGTCTGAAATCGACATTTATTTACGGAGCAAGCGAATAGTCGAAATCTGCATACAAAATCGCACTTATGGCATAGAAAACCCACTTATAATGGCCTGGTATGAGTATATTTCCACGTATTTTTGGACGAGGAATGGATTTGGACTTATCTCATTCCTGTCTGATGCGTCTAAAAGTTCGAAAAATGGCCTTGTTCCAGCTTATGTTTTCAACTCGTAATATTATATGCAGAAAATCACTTTTTTTAGTTCAAAAATGCCTTCTTCTGTTTTCCAATGTAAATGGATTTTATTTTTTAGCGAAACAAACAAGAATATATCAATTTTCTGAATTTTTTTTTCGCAAATTTTCAGCCAATTCGGAGATGGTCGATCCAATTCTTGGTCGATTTCGTGTGCAATGGTCGTATATGAAAACTAAATCTGACTGAAATTCAATTTAAAATAAAAGTGACAATTATTCTGGGCCACTCGGTATAATAAAAATGCATGTAAACCATACATACACATTTTTATATTGCAGGTACAAATAAGAATGATTATTATCGGAGGTGAAATTTATCTCATTGGGGGGTCATTTTGAAGGAAAATTTCAATCGCCGAAATTTCTTCTCCACTAACACAAGGATTCCTTTAAACAGAGGGAGGTTTTACTTATTTTGATATTCAATTTTGTGTATTTTTCAAGTGCTATCGAGCGAACAAATTATCACTTTCTTTATAGCCGCCTGAATTATGAAAACTAACTTATCTTCATTTGAAACAAGCTTTCATGCTTTATTCAAAAGTTTTATAGCAACTCAACCGCATTCTCGAAAATTCATTTAAAGGAAGAGCCACGAATCTTTACGTTGAAGACTCTCTTTTGACTCGAAAACAGTGGTCGGATTAAAGTAACTCAAAATCCGCTGCAAACATTGTGTCAGCTGTTGTTGCGATTCCGTCCAATTGATGTTGATACATTCTCTGAATCTATATATATATAAAACTGCTATCACTGTCGTAGAAGAAACTTTCCTCCACTCAAAAAAAGCTTTTTGAGCTTTGCTGAATACATACGAAATGTAACGAAACAAATGGTATACGAACAAACGATATGAATTGCTGAATGTCTTCCTCATGAAAGTTACATCGATTTTTATGCTCACATATTTTGTTTCAAGATCAAGGTTGCAAGACCTGGCTCTCGACAGGCTGTTTTGGAGGAGGAATACTGTTAGAGGAGAAGTGAGGCCATCATTACAAAACAGACCAGACGCCGCAAGGCATTAATGGTCTTTAAACGCTTGTTGTTGTTGTTGATCAAGGTTACATTATCGAAAACGGTCAAACCGGAAAGCATAAATCATTAAAGATATGAAATATTCATTTCCAAAGAGATTGACATCTTTTATGTAAAGTTAATCTCATATTCTGCTCTTTTGGCAAATGTCATTCGAATTTCAAACTGTCTGAAAGAAGGCAAAACGATAGAAAAACTACAAACTAAAGAGGAACCAACATATTTTCGTAAGCCCACTCATCATCTCAAATTTTTGTGACATATGGGTTGATTGCGTCCACTTGTAGATCTTATGTTAATTAAATTACCATGTGTATCTTCGTGTGGTCACTGGTCATTTTGTGTGACTTGAAGCCATGGTATATAAGCTCACCAACATTGATGTTCAAGTCAGTTTTTGATTTGATCTTGATCGAACCACGTTGAAAATGTCGAAATTGAGTTTGATTGTGTTGTCAGTGTTTGCTGTCGCATTTGTCGCAGCCCAAGAACCACAAGTTCGTAATGAATACAACAACAACGACGGAAGCGGCACCTTTGAATTCTCGTACGAACTTTTGCTTTTATAGTCCTCACACGTTTGTGTTTCATAAAATGAAGAGAAAATAATCAAGATAATTTGGAAAATGAAGCAATGTGTTCTAATAATAATAATTTGTTCGAACAATAGTGATGATTTTTTCCTTGAAAAGTGTTATTCATCTGGTTTAATCAATTAATTTCTGTTTTATGCAATCAGATATGAATTGGACAATGGCCAATTTTTCCAAGAAGCCGGAAAGCTTAATGAAAAAGGTGCTCAAGAAGTAGCTGGTCAATACTCGTTCCAGGGAAATGATGGCCAAACATACTGGGTGAAATATACAGCTGATGAAGAAGGTTTCCACCCAATCGTCGGTAAGTTGTCGTCGTCATTCAAAAAATAATTAGACATGAATCCAGAACATTTTTTTAATTAAATATCTTTTGTTTCAAATGAACAGGTGCTGGTCCAGGCGGTCCAGATGCTATCGACCCAAATGCGTTGAAATCATTGGTTGGTTAGATTAGAACTCAATAGTTTCATAGATTTAGAACATGTTGAAACTTTTTGTATGTGGTGCTTCCGATCCAAACCAAGCGGGTCTGCCACAATTATTTCAAATTGTAGATAACAAATAAAGAAAACGTAAAACCTAATTCTTCTATTTGCCTTCTTCTTATGGTCTGAAGTAGATCAATTTTATTGTCTTTTGAACGAGTATAAATTTTCCATTGGCATTAAAGCAGCAATTAGGAGTTAAGTGGTTAATTTAAATTGAGAACGCCATTCTGGATTAAAATGAAAAGCCCTCTGAAAATACAAACAGGTAAAAATGTCACCATATTCAAACTAGATCGATTTGTTAATTTGATAATGTAAACAAAGTGATGAATACCCGTAATATCCATATCCGCATTCGTTCACACGCATTATTGGTGAGCAAAATTTTGCCCGCAAAATAGACATTTTTCCATATACGATTGATGACACCTCAAGCGAGTCAAAAGATACATAATCAAAATGGTGAAAAACCACTTTGAATGATTAGCATCAACCATCAACATAGACTGAAGGTAAGCCGATCTTCGTTTCGTTTTCATTTTCGGAGTTCTTCATTCCATCACCGTAATTAACATATTTTCGATCATAATTTTGCGGCATAAGGGTCAGAGATCATGTAACCTTCATATTTATCATATGATGAAATCAGATATCTATGCAAAATTATGCATATTCGAAATTCTCTAATAAGATTTGGTGACTGTGCTGGATTTTTTTATTCATACGAAAACTCATTGGGACTCATTCACAGCGGAAATGTATCAAAGGAAAATTGATTAATATTGTCTCACTTATTGATTGTTAACATTCGAAGGTGTCTCAAGGCTCGACCAAAAAATATTTTTAGCTCTGTTTATTGAAATTTAAGTCAGCAGACATATTATTATATATTATATGTTTGAAAACGAAACCTTGTTCGGTCATCAATTTTGAATTTTTAACTTCTGGCACAGCGCTAACCTCACCTAGGTTACTTGAGAAAAAAATCCACGAATATTGGAGATGAACTTTCTATTTTTACTAATGTTGCGCTGAAAGTGCAAGTAAAAGAAGTGTTAATCGAATACACTGGTCAAATTCATAATGATTAGCCATGGTTTGATAAATTATACCATCTGTCATCATAGTTCTCCATCGGAGGTAGTTATGCAAAGTGTTAAAAATGGATCGGTATCGATAAAAATGACATAAAACCACAATTATCATCGAATTTAAAACAATAATCTTCTTAATGGCGCACACGTCGTTTGCTGGAACACTACACAATCTCTGTGATATTGCATACCATAAATCATTTTCTAACGCCACACACATGCAATATCATCTCATGACGTTCACGATACATTCGAATACATTTAAGTTACGATTTTTTTCTTAGAACAGCTACTTTTGCGCTTTCTCGTTGCCATATCAGGAATATCTGTAGTCCAATTCGATTTTGTACCAACTTTGAATGGGGTGCATTCAAAAGGAAGACAAAAACTTTGAATAATAAATTACATCTTATTTTCGGAAAGGGTCAAGTAATTTTCAGCTTATGAACCAAGAGTGAGTTGCTATTGTGTGTCCATCTCATGTCACTACATCGGTTCGAATTTCGGAAGACGTTTAAATGCGTTTGGCCAAATGCCAAGATATTGTCGACCGAAACAAACAGACACGGAGGGAAAGAGAGAAAAAAAAACGCCGCACAAGTTCTAATATTGAAACGACCCTAAAATTTACATAAAATTCCTTAATCTAGAATACATTAATTTTTGTCTTAAGTTTTTAGTGTACTAACCCCATGAAACGGAGGCCAATTTCGTGGCAAACATCTAGTGCATGCATTGTATGCTACTCTGTAAACGTCGTTAAATTACGAATTTCAAGTTTTTTCGTCGCTTGCCGAAACTCCCGTTGAGGGTTGAATATGGAATTGATGTCGTTGTCCAGTATTAATAACGACAGCGGTGATTATATTTCGGTCATATTTACTTCATGAAATGGGCTAAATTAAATGAGTTTTATCGTCTGTTGCTGCTGAAGGCCAAAAAACATAGAGAAGTACGGTAAAGAAAGAGCAAAGGAGTGAAAGTGACCTTTTCTTTTATTTCAAGCACGTACAGTTATTTTGACCATCTCGGTCATAATGTTCTTTTAACAAGGAAATATATTAATGAATATGCTGTTATCAAGCAAAAGTACTTTTTTTAAACGAAATTATGCGACTGATTTGGGCTAAATTCATACGAAAAATCGTGTCTGTATTTCGAGTAGCTCACTTTATCAACCCATAAAATGGAAAGTTTGATAAAGGTTCGGTGATGTCATTCAAGTAGCAGGTAAAAGGGTCTTATGAACCAATGAAAAGAGACTGGTCAGTATCGATCCGAAATCAAGCGATATACATCAGCTACTACGCATTCCATACTACGCTGCAGCCCTATTTGCTGATATTGAAGCACTCGATTTGTGTAGCTGTGTATTGGTGGTCACACAAAATGGAAAAGAACGTTAGTTAAATGACCTGAACCGATGCTACATGCTATGGTTGCGCATTGAAACGGATGCTGTTTTATGTATCCGGACGTTTGCATGATACGTAGAACGTAATTTATGTTACCCTTTTTTTATGTTTATTAAAATGGACACCCTCGTTCTTTTTCGGCCGATAATTCTCCTCCTATTTTCACAAACATTGACATCAATACAAGATGGATTTTTTGCTGTGTCGATGGCATTACCATTTAATGGCTATACTCTATGTAGCTTTGGGCTTGAAATGAAATGCCAAAATCTGCAATAAAAACAACACGAATCAACTAGTCCAATATTGGCTGTATTCCAGTTTCTTATCTGGAACTCAAAATTTTGTTTTTTTTTGTGGCACAATATATAAATCTCTTGTTCACGAGCATATTCATCGACTAAAACAGCTGATTTTGCCATTTTGATTGAATAAATTAACACGATTTGAAAAATTCACAGCCATAAAAGAGTCGCAACGTAATAACATTGACGGAATAAAATGTGTACAAACTAAGCCAAACGCAAATATACCAACCGCTCAGCAGTTGGCACACATTTGAATAAATACATTATTTAAAGGCGGATCAGCGTTAATTCCGTTGTCTTCATTTTCGTGTCACTTCTTCATCGTTTTCACTTTCCATTTCAAACTTGTTGCTTGTCTCCATCACCATCAACTTCGCGGTGACCTTGAAAGCCGGTTTGAGTGTGATTCTAGAAATCACACCGTGCGCGTTCGCTCGTTCACTCATCACACACACTTTTGAAATCACATTTTGTTTTTTCTTTATTTTTAACTCTTTCGTAATTTTTTCTGATGAAAAACTTATAAAATTGATATGAACACGGTTCATTTATAAAGATTGCGCTCAGTTGTGAATTCGACACGGTTGTGATAAGTTGAACGTTCCCAATCAAAATTTAAAGCTCAAGTAAAATGGCCCAAAAATTCGTTATTGTTGCCGCTGTTGTGTGCGTTTTGGCTGCATTCGTGCACTCGGCACCACAATTCCAAAATCAAAACCAATCCCGTGGCCCACAACAATTCAGCCAACCACAACAGTCATTCCAAGCTCAACCAATCCGTGCACAAAACCCAGAAAGACAATCACGATTCTTGGTTGTTGACGAAAAGTTCAACCAGGACCCAGCAACCAAAGAATACAACTTCGAGTAAGTAGAAGAATTTGTTGAATTTTTGCTGCACTTATGTAGGTCTGTAGGTCATGATAGAAGACATTACTAATTCCCCAATGAATAATTACAGCCAAAAATTTGCAAGCGGTGAACATTACAACGAAGAAGGTAAATTGAAGAAATATATAAAAGAAATATATTAATAAATAATAAATAATTGGTAGGTAAATTGAAGACCGTCGAACGAGTTGATGAAGACGGTAACTTGCAAAAGAAGGATGTTATTGTGACAAAAGGATCATACACAATCATCGAAAAAGATGGCTCCATGACACTTGTTAACTACACTGCTGATGAAAACGGATTCCACCCAGAAGTCGTAACACAATCACCAGCCGGCAAATAAATTTATGAATAAGATTCTTTAAACTCTTGTTAACTATTGAAATATGAAAATAAACAAATAAACAAATCAATTCCAAAAAAAAATATATTTTTTATTTTAAGATTCAAATAAATAATGACAAACCTGTTTCAAAATGAAATTTATATCCAAATTATTCTCGGAATTGCCATCGGAACAGGTTATTCGGATATTCTACGGTGATAATCTCTTTTAGATGGAAGCAGAGAAATGCAAAATCATGAATTGATAATTGATAAATCATAACCTGCATCTGAAAAAGATGACCGAAATAAATGAATCGGCTTAGGTGTGGTTGTCTTGATGATATACTCGTAGCATATCGATGACATAATGATATTTTAAAATGTCACGCAAAATATGTTAAACTCGCACTGCATGAGTCTCTCGGGAACAGAGACAAAATATGTTGTTATTTATTGAACAGAGACAAAATAAGCATACAAAAACGGTCACGAAACTCGTTTTGTGCATTCTTCTCTTCATATCTTTCGCTGTTTTATCTTGTTTTCACAAGATGATATGAATCAACAATATCATTTTAAAACTGCATGGTTAGTAGGTGATCTGTTGTGCCTCTGATAAGTTCGTTTTTTCTTCGTGAAAATACAACTTTTTTCAAAATGTCAAAATTCGTTGCTATCGCTTTAGTTTGTGCATTAGTTGCGTGCGTCCAAAGTGCTCCACAGTTTGACCAAAAATTCCCAGATCATCAGCAACCACAACAACAGTCGAAATATGCCGTTGCGGCCGGAAGATTCCATCAAGATCCAAATCTTGAATACAATTTCGAGTGAGTTTTTAACGAGTTTAAAAGACATCATTGACTTCACCTAGTGACACTTTGATGAATCTTGAATTTATCTGTTAGACAAAAATTCGAGAATGGAGAAGAGTTCAAAGAAGACGGAAAATTCAAAACGGTCAGCGGTTTGGATGTCATTGTGACCAAGGGGTCATATACCATCGTTGAGAAGGATGGCTCGATTACAGTTGTTAATTAGTGAGTATGCGGCCAAAAATGGGCATTCTATCAATAACTGAAACTAAAAATAAATGTGTTTTCATTTTTATAGCACTGCCGACGAACATGGATTCCATCCAGAAGTTGGTGAGCTAAAATAATCTGTGAATATATAATTTTTCGTGATCTAATCTTTCACATTTCATTCCAGTTACACAAGCACCAGCCGGCAAATAAATTTGTAGAAGTTGGTGAGTTGTTTTTTTTCCTGTATAAATTTATTGAAATTAAATACATGCGACCATACTAATATATTCATATAAATTTTCATTTCAGTAACATCTCCACCAACCGAAGGCTAAATATACCAAGTTTGCGGTCTGCACAACTAGTTGACCCAGTCCGAACAAACCGTGAATTCAATGTTAATTTAGTCAAAAATTCAAAAACTTATTTTCAATAAATTTGCCACAAAAAACTTTCAACAAAGATGTTTTCATAAATCACAAGAGATAAGAGAAAATTTACACATTTATCGAAAATCCTTAACAACGAAAATGGACGAGTTTCTCTCTTACTTTATTGAATAAAACTTTGAAGCTGAAGTCTCATAACAAACCATGGATCAATTATGAAATCGAATAGCCACACAACAAAATTTCGTCGTATCATGCCCAAGCTAAGCTTACGAGCAGCTACTGATAAATGTGTGGTTCTGTCTAAGATGATATAGTCGATAATCATTTTAAATGGTGCTCTATTACGATGATGCGTCACATAACAAGCGAGTGAGAGGTAAGATAATCTTCAGAGCCTGTTGGATGAAATGTGAGCAATAAAAGGCAACAATTCACACAGGAATTCAAACATAACCCGTCCGAGTGAAGCCAAACATAGCACGTACATACATTATACGAGACTACCAGATACGAACACATGATTATTGTAGAATGTAGATGTGTGTAGCCACAAGAAGTTTAAACTAATAACTCTGTGTCCCTATCGCTCTCTCATCGTCCACACACACATATTGTTATCTTTTAATTATTTTCTGGACTGCTGCCATTATTCTTCAAACCACCCGAACCACGCCATTTTTGATACAGTACACTTAAAATGCATATGTGTTGAATTCGGCTCACCCAAAACCCTTATGCTTGGCTGTCTTTGCTGGAATGAGAATGTAGACGACTTAGGTTCCATTTTTTCGAATAGAAAACAGAGAATTCACATTAATTTTATGTTTAGACTGGCCACAAAATGTATAGGCACGTTCGACCTTACATATCTGGCCTTTCTCCTCCTTATTATTCCTCATTTTGGCAGAAAAGTCTAATCGGTGAGCCAACATTTACCGAACAAATCTCTTGGTTCATAGAAGATGAGCATATTTTCCTTTCGGCTTATGGCACTGGTCGTAAATGATGTGAAAGCGTTACATTGAAGCGGTGCCAAAGTGGATAAATACGTGCCGTTTTGGTCGAAGCGAATCAAAATGAAGTGATGTACAACAACCGAAACCGTATTAGCCGATAGAGGCGAGAGAGTGCGAGTAACTATTTCTATGGCGGTGGCAGTATTCGTGTGCCATTTGATCGATAAAATACTTAACGGACCTTAAATTATGCATATATGTGTGTATGTGTATATGTTCGGCAGCCTCATTTGCCAAATACCTTGTGGATAGTATTAACTAGACGCCGCCACAACAATCAAATTTTATTAAAGTAAATAAATTGAAATGCGCCCGGACGCTCGAAATTCGTCTACTGAAGATTAAAGATCCGGATTGAACATAGATAAACATATTCGATCATCATGATTCATGAATGAAGTATGCGGTTATTTTGTTTCACTGGCAACGACTGGTCGTGAGTTCACTTCCGAGCTGGCGCTTTCATACGTCGAATAGGTTGGTTGACGGTGGGAGCGTGTGTGTACGTTTACCATAACTATTTTCACTAATTGAATTACGCTAACTGAATAATTATTATTTGGTATGTTTGTGTGCTGCTTGTTCACAAGTATTACTGGTAAAAGGCCGTTTGGTGGATGGTGCGTGTGTAGATTCATCGTTTGATGTGAACATCTCTTGATTTGGCAGATTGGCTACAACATAAGTTACTGCAAAATGGCCGTGCCTAATTTAAATTGGCTACATCGTCTTGGTACGGTTGATGGGCACCCATGAGCCCAAATATAAACAAGGTCTATTAATCATGTGCATTTTATCAAAATCTTTGTTCATGGCTTTTTTGTTTATTCAATGTTCAACTTAAACTTGCCATATTTCATCGTTTTGTTTCTTCTATTAAAAGCTTTCATTCACGTGCGTTGGCCGTAGTTTTGAATCGCCGTTCATATGGTTCGTCGCATCGGTAAGCGTAACCGTCTCATTTTGGTCACGTTTTCAGGTGTGAATGATGATCGAAATAATTAATAACGGAAAATTTTGCTTTTCTCAGCATAATTTAAATAACTTATCATTTTGTCGATTCACTATCGCACAGACAAAACGAGGAAAATCTTTGATTTTTATTTGTCATTGACAAATGTCTCATCGATATCAATTTGTGTTTGGAATTTACAACAACCAAGAAAAAAAAATCTACGGTGGAGATTTGAAATCCCAAAGCTGTTAACCTTAAAGAATTTGTTATCACAATAGCCGTATCGTGGCTTGCTTTTCCTCTTATCGAGTAAGCAATGTGATTCTTTTCCTTATCATTGTCAGTTATTAACTACGTCAAATAAATTTCGATTCATGGTCGTGCGCACATGGATGACAACACTTTTTTTTCGTAGAACTACTCATGGTGAGCATTACCACACTCGTTATTTCGCATCTGGAAAACGCGATAAAAACGAAGGAAAACGGGAGTAAAGCTCTTTGAGAGCACGATTGAAAGATGCCAATTCGCATGTGGATACGAAGCATGTCTATATTTTGAATGCGATATCGATGGTGGTTCGGTGTCGCGAATTGGAAAAATGTACCTTTCTAACTGCACAAATAGAATATCCATTGAGTCATTGATAGGTATATATTGATAGGTGAATCCAATATAACTTCATATGGATTTTGGACTGTGTTTCCTGATGTTGGCATTAAAACTTCTGGTCGCCTCTTGTTATTTTGCCAGTTGCGAATGCCAAAAAAAACGGAATCAAACATATTGAAATCATGATTACAACAACGTATACGGATTGGTGGTGAGCAAATGCGAGCACACAAACAGAAACACCATTCAGTTGGGAACGACACAAGCAAATCAAATGGATAACACAACCCATGCAATATCTATTATGTTTGTTTCTTAAGTTCCGAACATCCTACACAGCACACACGCACAAAACACGTACATGCAAACATTCATAGTGGTCGTTAAGTTCTTTCACATCGACGGAGCCCACCTAAACTGTAAACTGTTCAATGAGAGAAATGCGAAGCAAATACCTTCGGCAAAGCGCGCGCGTTTTCTCGTTCTCTCTTATTATTTCACAATATATTATGCTGAATTTATCTAACGATGGATTTATATTTGATCCGAAAAGGATTTATTCGATGAATGTGTATGCGTTTGCAAATGTATTGAACATTGATATAGGTATTGCTTGCCCAAGTTTTAAAGCAGCAGCTCTGCAAAGTAGTTCCTCTTGAAAAGCATTTCTTTTTTTCTTCAGAAAAGAAACGCACGGTATGTTGCATGATATGCGATGATTCTTTTTTCTTGCTCCCTTTGAAATTCACTCTCTCAATTCCATTTGAAATCACATTGAAAAGATAATGATGATCCTTGCTCAGAAAATAGCCAATCGAAGCGCATTTGTACCCAGGGGAATAAGTAAGTTGCAATTATAAACGTAGTTTGAATAAATGGATTTTTCGATTTCTTCCATTCTCTTCATATACGCTTTTTTGTTGTAATTTTTCCAAAGTTTTGAATATATTCGTGCAGCGTCAATCCACCATAATTTAAAATGAAATTTAAAGTTTAAAAACTCTTTCCCTTTCACTTCTGCAGTTGCAAAAATTAGGCACCAAAATAACAAAAAGAAAAGAGTTGAACAAAAGAGTGGAGGCTACATGTGAAAAAGCCGATAGTGTTGAAATGTATGAGCATATTGAATAATTGTAGTTTTCGACCCCTTTAAATTTTTAGCTCTTCAACGAACTCTTCACTGATGCTGGTGATTATCCCTTTTTGGTTTGGATCGCGGTGACTGCCATAATCAATAGGTATTCGCAGTGATTTTGGTTGCAAGATTATTGGTTTCGGGACTGAATTGACACATTTTTTTTTATTTGCTAAAATCCTTTTTTCGATAATCTCTTCCAATAAATAATGACGAAATGGTTGCATCGCACAATTCATATTTCGAATAAAAGGAGCGACATGCTTTCGTTCAAAGAATGTCATGCAGTCAACCCGAGAACAGAGATCAGATTTTTTTTCTCTTTCCCACACTGAACTCTTCGATAATATTTCGATAATGTGTAGCAATTTTGTTTCAGTTCCTTCTTTGCGCAATAATTTTATCATATTTCGTATTAATATGTTGTGAAAACATGCATAAAATTTGCCTTATATCGGATGCCATTACTTTATAATGCATGTCATATGGCGAAAGGAGGAAGATCTAGGAGAATAAAGGTCTAGTGGAAAAACGAAATTAAATGGTTTTCATTTTGCCGAACGAAGGAAGTAGACGAAAAGAGAAGACGAGGAGAGAAAAAAGTCGAGCGAGAAAACCCGAAAGCAAGACGAACGGAACTAGATAGAGGATACAACAAAGGCTAAACTATATCCATCGACAAATTCCATTCATTCACTATGGTTACGAGATAGAGAGAGAGAGAGAGAGAGAGATAGAGAGAGAGAGAGAGAGAGAGAGAGAGAGAGAGAGAGAGAACCAAACGAATGGTATAGAACGGTATGGGAAGCGCATCGCTCTGGCTCTATGAATTGTAGATAACTCACTCCGTATTACCGTTTTAAATATTTAAAATAAATTACTTACCATTCGATATAATTCCATCGAGTGTGTTGTTGTGCAAGCTGGAAAACCCCTTTGGCAAATTTTAAACGCAAATTCAGTTAGTTTTTCGTTTTCTCTCTCTCTCTCTACATCTATCTATTCATTTCGTTTATCCTGTTGAACCTTACGTTCGATGCAATTCGCTGTGTACTTATTTATAAAATGGATAACGTTCATGCACAGCGAACGGGCGAATGCAGAAGAAGATAAAAGTTGCATACTGAGCTGTTTCGTACATGCATATTTTTCACGATCGCTTATTAGTTTTTTTTGCGAATGTGTGTGCGTTCGATGCATCCGTTTTCAACTCTTTCCTATGTTATCCTTTTTCTCTGTTAACGACGGAGTCGATGGTGATTATTCAAATATGCAATATAATAGAAAATAGGATCCGGAACTCAAACACAACAATACCATCAAAATAATATTAATAATAAGTAATTTCATCG